AAAAATAAATTAATTTCGCAAAATTTACTTTATGTTTAAATGCGAGTCCAAAAGTAATGCCCAAAAAATGTTAGAGTAATATAATATAATAGCCTAACTGTCTGTCCGTTTGTTTTTAAAGCCAATCACTTCTCCGGTATTGATATTATCATTGTTTTGGAAACCGATTGAAAGAAATATTTTAATCGAATTCATTGCAGCGAATGATTTGATTTATTTTCAATTCAATAGAGTTTGATATTAAACTATACAATGATTTGTTGGCCACTCTTTAGCCATTCACTCCATTAAATGCATTGTTTTTTATAATACTGTAGTTATAAAATATATTCTGAGCTCTTCTGTTATTGACTACATTTATTGTTTCAATCAATGTTTTCCTATAAATTCCTTAATTTATTGTATATTTTGTGATTTTTGTTTTCATGCAATTAGTGTTAAATTTATATGAATTTTATAAATTGCTTTGTTTTGTTCAATGAATTTTGCTTTAGATTAAAGATTAACTATAAAATCATTTTTCTATTCAATTAAAATTGAAAACAAACACTAAAGATAATGAATAAAAGTCTCATTTGATTGTAATTTGTGCTAATGATTAGATTATACAAATTGATTATACAAATGGCTTATATTCTGTCTTCAAATCTAATTTAACAAAAATTAATTTCTTTTCAAAAACAATTAAATGAATTTTTATGAAATTTATTCTGTAATATAATAAGCAATTGAAAACATTTATGCCATTACTATATGAATTGTGTTGACTTATATTATGTTAATTGCATGACATTATTAGAAAACTCATATTTGAAATATAAAATTGATTATTTTATTTTGTTTTTGTTTGTTATATAAACGACAAAATAATTGAAAAAATACTTATTTAGAAATATAGAGAAAATGTCAAAACCAAGAAATTGAATGCTATTTCTGTTTTCATGTCCTCTAAATGATTGTCGTCTGAAAAGTGGTTCGCATTAAATGTTTTATTGATTACCACTTACTCTCTTCTCCACAGGGAATAAAGTAGTGGACAAACCATTAAAATAATGAACAAATCAATTAAAGGCTATTTCATGTGCCCCTTCTTCTCCCACAGACAATGGTCTCGTGTTTTCTCTGCTAAATATATTGGGTTTGCGTTTTGCGCTCCGCTTTCACTCAATAATGATCTCAACTAATGATTTATAAATCAAAATGTAATTATATTTTTACAATGAATTATATATTATATATATTCCCCTAATTTAATGTTGTTTACAAACTTTAATTGAATTTTACTTTCATTTGTAACGGAATGTATAAATTTGTTAACTTTTTTCCTTATATTAATTGTATTACAAATAAATTGATTTCTTTTTTTATGCATTCAATAGTTATTTATTCAATATTAAAGATATATTACATAAAAATCTCAAAATCGTAACGAAAGAAATGTACAGAATATTAATATTAATAATAATAGCCTAATAATAATATCAATAATAATAATAATTAGAAATACCAATCGATAAATTGACTAAATTATATCAATAATGCAATAATTAATAATTTGTTTGTTGTATACAAAACATGTATCGATGAATGAATTACTGAATTAATGCGTTACTGAAGTAATGACTTTACAGTTGTCGAAGTGATTGAACACCCGATCGATTCGTTGCCGAAAATATTGGGTAAAATAACGCAAATAATCGGTTTTTATTAACGATAATTGCCTCTTAAATGTGGGCTCGTATTGGACGATGAAATCGATGAGAAGTTTGTTGGGATTGGGATGCGATCGCAATAGCCGTAAGTGTTCAACAGTGGATCGTCTGAATATGCAGTTCGTGTTGAGCACAGAATCGTGGAAATCCTGGAAGAATTTGGATTCGTTTCCATTCTTCTGGCTATACATAAGCCAATAGGCGTCGAGAAAACCGCTCTCGTTGTCGATCATCCAAATGGAGTTGGTTTTAGTCGACTTCACTAAGTTATGGATTGTTTCCTATTTGGGAGACAACACACAAAAACATCGAATCAATTATAGGTATTAGTAATAGTCAACACAAATATCACTGCAAAAGCTCGACAACCGATCGATATAGAAATGATGAGAGAGAAAGAAAAAAGTTGTCGTGTAATCATATCATTAATTACCTTCAAAATAGTGGTGTTATTTTGTTTGAGGGCCGCGTCTTGCATACTGGCCACCCGATCATAATTGCCCGTTAGGTAATCAAATAGCAAGAGATCACTCCATTGCATCAGTTCCACCAATTCAGCTGATGTCACATTCTTCAGACGCCAGTCCTTTGAATGCAGTGTTGTGTTAGTGATGAGCGAATTGAGGATAAGACTAGGCATGCGATCCCTTTCCAAGTCATCGATCCATTCAATTAGAGCTACAGTTGTGTTGAATTGCCATTCCTTTGACAGACTGTCGTTCCAGACATTACTCCACATCCGATCGTTTGTGT